TAAAAATTACATTCGAAAACAATAACAGAACATCAGCTGAACCTTAACCTCTAAAATGGAGAAAAAACTGAAACTGCAGGGTTGTTCTTTCTATCAGTACCGGCATGTCCGAAGCTGTGCTCTAAGAGATGGCTATATAGTCAAATTCACAAAACAAATTTTTCTTTTTCGGTGGACGGAAATATTCTCCGCCACATTTCTGTCAGCTGAATCGTCCGCTGACCCCATTTTCTTTCAGGTCAATACAAATCCTGGAGACGTGTAGCCTATCCGATGCTGAAGAACACAAGAGCGGTCTTTATCGTCATAAATGTTTGCATAAACGAAGGTTACCACTTTCGACGTACAGGATGTTTAAAGGGTAGTACAGTTGGTGAGACTCATTTTATGCATGACTGTTCAGAGGTCTATTCTCAATATCTCTGACATGTTCTTTCATTACTCGGTTATAAGTGGGTGATCAGAAGTAGGACGACAAGACACATGGTAGCGAAGTAGAATGAGTCCATCTTATAAGGACCTCGGTCGAAGTCTTCAAGCTCTTACTCTGCTTTGAAGCTACCACGTTTAAAGTAAGGGAAACATTATTATTAAACCAGAAATGCAGCGTAGTCTCTGAAGCACCGACAAAGATCAGTGAATAGAACACTGATGACATCGCGGTTTGAAAGACAGACGGTTGAAATGTCCACTTATTCTTCCACGGTAGGTCAACGAACATGGGTTCAAAAAAAAACATAACCAGATGTCGATTCTGGCTCTTAGACACAGTAACTACCATAAAACATACAGCACTCTTGGCGAAAATCCTCGCAGCAGAGACGCAAATACACGCTGTAGGCTCAAAAAGATGTCCATCATACAAAATATATAAACATTCGAATATTTAACAGCAACGCCTTTACTACTATCCTGTCTACTATCCTGTTGGCGCTACTTGAAAAAACAGCATACATTGAGTATGCTTCACATACATTGAGTAACAGAAAACAAAAGTTTACATAAAAATTGCTTCCCTTCAACATGCAATAAAACAATTACAATTTCATTTGCCATGAGTAATATATTAACATCTGCAACTGCTGCTCAAAACTGTTTAACTTGAAATCACAAAGAAGACAAGGGCCTTTATGTCAAATATAAAGATTCAATGCAACGTTCATACCGGATCCAGCGTAAATCCGTGCACGCCGCTACCCACCGTCAATACGACCATTGTAGCAGAGCCGTACAACGCGTATCCGGCAGACACCATTTTCGTACCAGGTTGAAGAATATCTTGAAGGCTTGGTGGTCCGTCTGTGTTCTTTAAATAGAAAATTTAAAAGGGGTAGTATAATTTAATTTCACAAGATGCATAACAATGCTGAATAAACAAAAATCAGAACATGATAATATTTATGGCCAGTGAAGACCTGAAAGATGACTGATGTTCATGTTAGTACAAGCATGCTACACATAGAAACAGCTGCAAAGTGAAGTGTGAAGGAAAACCGACATCCTAACGGTTACAAAATTCCGACTTTTGCTTGGGGAAAAAAACTCTCGGTTTATACTGAGTCTCGAGAGCATCGTTTTGTAACAACACGCATTCCACATATTTGCATAACTAAATATTTTGGATTAGACATAATCTAAATGGACGCAGGGGGATTCACATGTTTTGCACCTACTGGTCAGGAGCTAAAGTGAAGAGAAGTACTGGGATACAGAAAGGATGTCACTACCGTATAATTAACGCAATCTACAGTCGATTTCAAAGACCAAACAACTCAAGTGTCATCAGCGTATTTTATGTATTTCAGTAACGCGCTGACGACACAGTTATTGGTAAAAATATTACGTGATAGTGGAGACAGAACAGAGCCTTGCACCACTTCTAAGTTCCTCGGCAATTCGTTGGATTTCTTTTCAATGACTTTTACATAATGGCGTCGATAGGAAAAACAGTTTGTCAGCCAGTTAATTATTAGGTACCGGCTAGTTTTAGTAAAACTTTATCGCGTAGGATGGTACTAAATGCCGATGATAGGTCTAAGAACACCGTTCCGCCTATTCTTCCATCTTTATCTAATTCCTGCCTAACTTCATGTGTTAGACAGGCAATAACGTCGTCAGTTTCCGCATTGAAACGGCAAGCAAACTGGTAAGGATCAAGTGAAGAAGTCACTTTCCTCTGAAGGAGAGAAAGGACAAGAGGTTCATGGCGTTTTAGCAGTGCAGAAGTTATGGCTGCTGAACGGAATGCGTATTGATCGTTTTCTGGCGAACACTTCTTCGGCAACGGCGTATCAGTAATTAGACTGGTGTGAAATTCTTTAGGCTTTGTTCCGTCTTTTCACTCATTAGTTACTGCGATCCGTACCCTCAAGATCTGACAGTTTTTTATAATCTTCATGGTAAACTGACAAATGGAAGTCGCCGGCCATTCCATTCAAACGGTAAAAATCGATCTTTCACTCATTACAAAGAATGCCTTAACATCTTACGTCATTCTTAGTCTGTGAATGTGCCATACATTAGTAACAACCTGATTTAAACAACCAAAGAAGGGTGAGAAACTAATTCAACTAACGATCCTAATATTCTCAGTAGTCAGCCATGTCGAGCCAACCGGTTGCTCAGACTGGAACGCATATAAATAAAAAAAACCCAGGTATATATGACCACACCGACCTACCTGTACCTATCTAATCTACACTCGGGAAAATAAATCGGTTATAAACAAGCATGAAGACTGAACAATCAAGAAAGACGAAAAGTGCCATTCTCCATTCAGATATGTGACTACATCAACATACAGATCTTAGCAACGTGGTTTCGAATGTTCTTACATGTTTGACTATCGAAAAACGATGAGAAGAAAAATTCTGTAACAATTTACTACCACAGCCTTTTGCTACTACTTCGGTAGCATGATTATCAGGAAATTAAATAACGAAACGGTTACGCTTTCAAAAACGGACAAAAAACCAATAACTTTAAATCATAATTGAAGATGCCATTTTTCCCCTTTTTATATAACATATGATACATTTTACAACTGTTCTATTTTTGCCCATCAGTCTTCATCGTGCTTGTAAAAGAAAGGCAGACTTGAGAAAAGATGTCATCCTTTCGTCTGATCCTCAGTCCCACCTGTCACAATACCTGACCTGTCTATCAGAAGCTGGATGAGCAACAAATATCTTCCAAATCCTATGGCATTTTTCCTCAGGGTTTTCACCTAAGACTGAAGATGCACAGTCAGTAGAGTGACAGACTGAAAACAGAGGTCTCAGGTACAACGCCTGTCAGGTCACTCGCATTTCTTCTTTTCGAGGTTGATAAATAAGCACACGTCTATGGGAAGGAAGCACAAGACTAGACACTAAGCTTGGCACAGAGCCGTTGTACACCCATTTACTCTACTATACACTGATGACTGATGACATGCCGTTTCATTGGAAAAAAAAGGG